GATTGTGAGGAGAGTGTGGGAACATTTTGCTACTTGGACTCATATACCCCTACCCTCCACAGACAGTTTTTTTGAGCTCCTGAGTTTTTTCTCACAGAGCACACACTTTAGACACGTGAGCTTTCTCATTCCTTGTCTGATCCTTTGGTTCACCTGGACGGAAAGGAATAGTGCGAAGCATAGGGATATTACTTTCTTGCTTTCTCAAATTGTTTTGCAGGTGGAGAGACACGTTTCGCTCCTCACAGCGTTGGGCAGGCTTTCTGCACGTGACTGGACAGGCTACACGCCACCGCACCGCTACAGGGTGGCTCCTCCCCCGCTTGTTCGGTCCCCTCGGCCCAGAGCTGTTGTTTGGCTTCGACCCGACTCTCCTTGGGTCAAGCTGAACACCGATGGATATTTTGATCGCCATAGCGGTACTGCCGGAGGAGGAGGCTTGATCCGAGACCACAGTGGAGCTCTTATCACCGCATTCCACACATCCCTTCAGGCATCCTCGAGCTACGATGCAGAGATTTAGGCATTACAGATTGGCCTTCAGATTGCTGCCAACCTCTCTAGTCATATTTGGATTGAGCTGGACGCGGCGGCTGTCGTCACCCTCCTGGCCTCAGGTCATCATGGCTCGTGGCAGGTTCAACACCCACTTATGCGCATTAGAGATCTACTTCGGTCTGTCCATTACAGGATCACACACATCTTCCGTGAGGGGAACAGACCTGCTGATTACCTTGCCAGTCTTGGCGCTACCACACCAGACACGCACACGTATCAGACCTACACTGCTCCACTCCGCCTTCGCACGCTAGTTCGGATGGATCAGCTGGGATATCCATCGTTTCGATTCAAGTAGATTAGGTTTTTTTGGTTTTGTTCTTCTTAGACCATCCATCTATTCCGGGCACCTGTTAGCCCGATGACAGACCTTGTTCTATTTTCATTTGTTGTTTTCGTTTCAAAAAAAAAAAATACCTAGCAACAACAAACAACTAACCTAGCAACAAAACACAACTAACCTAGCAAGAAAGAAATAACATAACAAAAGACAAATGGTCAACGGTCAACGTCGGAAGTCAACGCTGGAGTCAACAGCCAACGCCGGAAGTCAACGATTTTCGCCGGAAGTCAACACCGGAAGTCAACGGTCAACTCCGGAGTCAACGGTCAATGGTCATAATAATATTTAAATAATTAAAATGAAGAATTAAATAATAAAAATAAAGAATTAATATTTAAATCAAGATCTAAATCTTGTGGCTAAGAATGAGTCCCACGTCCTCACTTTAAATAATGGGATGCATTGGAACCAATCCATATATATATATATATATATGAGTTGGGATCATATGAGAATAATAGATATTGAAAGAAATGAGAATAAATCTGGACCATGAGATAAATCATTGGTCAATCATTAATGAAAATTTGGTAATTATATGATCATATTGTGGTCAAATATATACATTTGACTAGTAATTAAGGGTAATTTAAACATTTGATCAAAACACACAAATATGAGGGGCCCACCACCTCTCACATTAAAACCAATCACCTACCCATACCCCAGCCCGTCAATCACCTACCCACCCACCAACAAACCCACTATATCTCTCTCTCTCTCTCTCACACACACACACTTAGACACACACTCTCACTCCTCAGGGCACCCGCATTGCAATGTTCATTTTGGGCATTTAAACGCCTCCGTGGCATTATAGTGGATGTGGTGCATCCATTAATCAGTGGGGCCCAACTATGTGTTCAGCATACTGAACGCGCCTTAATGTTTTTTTCTTTTTTTTTTTTATGGTTTTAAATAAATTATTTATATAATCTTTATTCTTTTTTTATATGGGTCTCATATATGTATTTAAATGAACGTGTAGGGATGTGGGTGTGTGTTTAAATGGAGAGAGATTAAGTGGAAAGATGATGTGGAGATAATGTGGATGAGAGAGAGTGTTACTTTTTTATTGAATGAATGATATTTGTGTTAAGGATTGTGGATGCCCTCACACACTCCCAGATTCACATGGGGAACCACCACCTCAACTGTCGTCCGGCGACAGCCACCCGCCGCCCGTCACCCGCCGCATGCCGCCTATCAAACAAACACCACCGCCGGACAACACCATCTGCATATTGTTGGGTTCCGAACGCCGACACCAAACCGCCGTTGTCGGTCCCGTCGCCACCACCACGGCCTCCAATCGATCCACTCCGACCAGGTCCGCCATACCCCCAATCACGTCTCCAACAATCCAATGCCATCTCTCGTCCGACCACCAGGCCAAACCCGGCGGCGCTCGAGATTTATTATCCTCTTCCTCTCCGACGCCGGTCGCCGCACCTCCCGACCGCTACCGAAGGGGCTTATATCGGCCGTCGACCTCGGCTTCAACGGCGATCTGGTATTCTCGAGAGTCCCGGCGTTTCTGCGGCTTAAGATGTGGATATTAGAATGTGAAAATCTGATTTGTGGTGTTATTCTTGAGAATTAGATTTGGAAATTTCGCGGCTTGAGATGTGTTATTGCAGCTTGAGAATTAGATTTGGAAATTTCACGTTTATGCGGTTAAGATGTGTTATTTCTTTTGGAAATTTCTGCTCGTGGTTTTAGGATTTGAAATCTGATTTGTGGTGTTATTATAGTAAACTAGTATTCGAACTTGTGCATTTGCACAAATGTAAATAAAATTAAATATTATAAGTTATATTTATACATATAATATAAAAATTATAAGTTATATAATTGTATTATATTTCAAACATATAGTATTATAAGTCATACTTATGTATATAATATTAAATTTATAAATTTTATAATAGTATTATATTTTAAAATTTGATCATTGGTTAAAATAAATAGTATACACGATTTGATTGTATACGAATCACTATATTTGATTGCATAAAATGCAATAAATATATATTTTTTATAATTTTGAGTGATCATGACTAATTAATTACCTGAAAAATATTACATTTAGTATAACAATTGCTTATGTGATTTTATGAAATTTTACTATGACATAAACAAAATTAATTTATTAATAAACAACATCTTCATCATATAAAAAAATATTGATTTTAGTGTAAAATATAATTTTATGTAACTTTCATATATTATTTAGTATAAAATATAATTACTAATTTTAATATTAACTATTATATTATTCAATAAAAATATAATTATTAATCAATTAACATAAAATATAATGATTTTTGTCTTAATTAACCCAAAAAATGTAATGAAATATTTTCTTATTAATGAGATTGGGTGTATTAATGCCACATAAATAAAATTTATTAGGTTCTATTTATTAGGTTTTATTAATGATTTGCCACATAGGTAAAATTTATTAGGTTTTATTTATTAGGTAAAATTTATTGCTTAGCTAGCAATTATATATATATAGATTAGATTAACATTAGGTTTTGTTTTGGAATTTTGACAGTAAACAGGGACCTAAACACAATTTTATATTTTCTAATATATTACAATTTAGTTTATAGATAAAATTTATAATTAGTTGAAATATAATTTGCAATTTAATATTTTTATATTTTATTGACTGAATATAAATATGTTTACATAAAAAAAAATATTATAATATTTTTCAATATAGCTCAATCTTTGTTGTCTCAATCCGCTATTTGGTTGTGAAACTTTATTTTTGTATGAATCATAAATGGATGTTTATTCAGCATTTCTATGTAATTATTACTCGTACTAAACAGTTGTCCAAATTTGACTTTTCAAATATTCTTCATTGTAGATATTTAGGTACCATATAATAAATTAAGATAAAAATACTTAATATAATTAGATTCTAATATTTTATAGTATTTGCAATTTTTGTTTGCAAGACTAAATGCATTATGCATTACTTGGTCAAACTATCGGCTTCAAACGTAACGGAAGCAATCTGAAACAACTAATCACAAACAAAATCTTTTTTCTTCGGAGCCTTAGCCAATACTCTTTTCTTCGGAGCCTTAACCCAATCACAATACAGAAATGGGAGTTCTAACACATTTTTTCAATTTATTCCTATCCAAATCCAAAGGGTCCCTCACCAGATATAGCATTTTACCTCCACAGCCCTCTCAATTCTAGGGGTGGTATCGGTTCGGTTACCAAACCGATAAGCGTATACCGATACCGTACCGATAATGTCGGTAACCTCGGAAGCAAAACTGATACCGAACCGATTAAAATCGGTTACCGAAAATTCGGTAATCGAAAACTCGGTTCGGTTTCGGTTCGGTATCGGTTTTATACCCAAAAAACCGAACCGATTTTGAGCACAAAAAAAAATTGCTAGTGTTTACTTTTCTCGTCATTTTTGTAGGCTTTTTCACTTCTTACCAATTAAATACACACAAAAGACTCACAAATCTATTGAAGGATTAAAAAGCTTAAATTTAATATACAGAAGTTAGTTTATATATTATTAGATTATGGTTTTTGTAGTAAACGCAACTAATAAAACAATATATTGCTAACATGCAAGAAATACAATTTGTGATACAACTTCAACTAACTTATCTAGTAACGGTGGTACGAGAATAGACTACAGTAACGGTAGCATGCATCTTCTTTAGAAGAAGTGAGACTGGTAAACCAACAATGTTCTGATTAGAAGATGAATGAGACGATGAGTAATTGTATTTTTCTCGTCATTTTGAGATTTAGGTAAGATTGAGCCCTTATTTCAATTTTTGAACACTAAACAACTAATCATTGTTTTAATATTTTAAAAAAAAAATCTTTGTTTTTTTTTTTTTTACCCTTATCGGTTCGGTATCGGTTTGAACCCATAATACTGAACTCTTATGGGTTCAAGCCGATAGCGTACCGATAGTGATTCGGTAATCGGTTAACGTTACAAGCGATTCAGTATGGTTTGATTTATTTTCTCGTCGGTTCGGTTTGGTTCGGTTCGATTTTCGGTTTTCGGTTAAAAAATGCCAGCCCTACTCAATTCTTCCTCAAGTTCTACCCTTTTAAGCTTTCCAAGTTGAAAATAAAGTATGACGAGACACCATATAAAGAAGAACCGAATCAAGCTTCCGCATCGAATGTCACGAGTAATTGGAGGACCATGAAAACAAATAATAATGAAAAATCAAAGTCTAAACATGAGGCTGCTTTTACTGGAATCTTGACATTTGCAAAACAATAAAAAGAGAGTACCCCAGTTAAAAAAGTATAAAGGACATGCCCAAAGGAAGCATATTGTTGGCTCTATTTTTGTCTTCACTGCTCAAAAACAGATACAAATCATCCATTTCCCCGAAAACACGAACCAATCTAAAGGCAAACTCCCCTAAATGTCAAAAAATGTACAAAACACAACCAGAAATACCCAGGCAGAATATACAAAGCTTCTAGCCCACATTCTCCCAGGGCTATAAGGACCAGTTTGCACAATCAATCGCCAGCTGGCATGAATCAAGCCAAGTATTTGAATAGGTTAGGGTTGTCCTTGTCCCTCTCCAAATAATCGCGGGTAATCAAATCCTCAATCCTCTTCTTGATCGCTTTGACATCGGGCTAGAGAGGAATAGGGGTCTCATTTCAGCATAATATTCACACAAATGTAGTAACTGCTGGAAAAGATTTTTACAAAATGAAAAATACCACAAATTTTGTACTCTACCTTGAACATGCGACCCAATTGTTCCATGCACTCGGCAACTAACTGCTGGTAGCCCAAGACCTTCCTACTCTTCATGATACGCACAATTGAAGCATCAATGGCATAACGTCTGTCCTTGTCAACGTCCTCTATTACCTTCTTTTTCTCATCTACTGGGGGCAACGGAATCTACATTCTCACAATTAAAATTGTTATACGCAAGTGAATTTAGCACTCAGTCACACAAGAAGAATTGGAAAACAGAGAGAGAGATACCCTAATCCTCCTCATCTTGTCAGTGAACTTGGAATTGAATTCAAAAACATCAGATGGAGAAATCGTTCGGGTGTTGGGCTCCTTGTTCAGAATCTTGTGCTTGGCACATGAAAGCGAGTGTAGCAGTCGGATAACGTCATCATCGGGTAAGTTCAACTGAGACATGATCTCACGATAGCTCAATTTGTCCGTGGTGTTGAACAGCAACAGGACAGCCGCCTGGAAATACAAATTTCAAAGCTAAGACCACCACAAGCACCAATTGTTATATGAGATAACAATTAATTACCTGATAGGTGGACACATTTAGCTCTATTGTTTTCTGATCGAATTTTCCATTCACAATACAAGTTCCCAAAGAATATATGAATGTTAGTTTCCTGTGCTTTGTTTTTGTCTGGTAGAACTCCCTAAATACCTCGACACACTTGACCTGGAACAAAAAGTTCAAAAATGAAAAATGGAACTTCAATGTGTAAAATTGTTGCTGAAAAAAATGAAACTTCCCAAGTATGAGCCTATACCATCTCAGCAGACAGGTTAAGATCATATGTCTTGTAAGTTGGCCAGAAACCCGTGGTGAGGACAGTAACTGTCAAGTCAAAGCCTGGACTAGCATGTGAGTTATTGGTGAGGTATTCCTCAAAGCTAACTTGATTCTCTCTAGCTAGAGCCAAATCTGTGACCTGGAATATTTGAAGCACGCGAGCAATCAAGAACACAATGCAAGATGCTTACCCAGAATCGAGATGAGTAAATAATATGATTTGGCTCACCATTCCCTCCATTTTTGAAGTAAACTGGGCACCACATTGCTGCTTCAACTTTGTCAGAATACTTCTTTCATGTTCGTCATTAGCACTTTTATCAAACAACAGGCGGCGTGAAAGCTTCTTCCTGCCACGACACAACAGCAGTAAAAGCATTAAGCAGAGTCTATTGATACACATAAACGCTCAAAAACAAACTCACCTGTAAAATTCTGCAAATAAATCCTTGTCGCTGATGTATGCAAGAAGTTTAACGACCTGGAAAAATAGGCTTCAATTACTGCATTCAAAATATGCTACAGTTAAAAAATACAAATGCACACTGCAATTTGCACAAAAATACACACCTTCTCCAGAGTATCTTCAATAGCTTCGTCACTCAATTTTTCACTTCCACCTTTCTTGAGAATGTTATCACAAAACGTCGCAAGAAGATCGGCGCTGGAATTTCCAGCAACGCCCTTGTTGCAGAAGATTTCAAAAGCTTCCTTAAGAGCCTGCATAGAAAATTTGGAAGTCACAACTGGAGCAGACATGTTAAGTTGAAAAATAGAACATGAAGCCAATGTGATGATCCTGACCTTGTGGAATAGAGTGTGATTTACAAAGCAGTCATTCACATATGCCATGTACTTGTCATGGAGCTCAATAACATTTCTTACAAACACCTGGGAAGTACAAATGTGAATCAAGTCTATTATGTGAAACCATACAAAATAAAAGGAATAGTTAATAAGTTACCTGTTCCTGCAAGCCGACAACATCTTTCTTTTCAGCCTGCACAAGACATCCTCAGATTAATAACATGCAGAATGAATCAAATTACTGACAGAGAACATTGAAATCATATATTTATTATCTAAATGTTTGACTGTTCTGTCTACCATGACAATGTTTTGTTGATGAAATCATTATTATCTCATGTCCTCTCAGCATGATACATTATTTGGAAAATGTCAGTTTTCAAGGATCGAGTAAAGTTCTTTGTCTTTTTTTTTATGTAACAGTAAAGATCTGATCCTCAGAGAACTGGACATTATGACAACTGCAATACATGATACATCATACTAATTTCAAGAGTGATCGTCTTCACAAAGTTTCACACAATATCCTGCAAAATTATGGTAACTTAAAACAACACATAAATATTCCACACCACATAGTAGAGGTTGTGATCGTCTACCTCAACTTTTTGATGCACAACTTAAATTTTCAAAGACTCACTTCTATTCATAATTATCCACCATATCCAATAGACAATCAATATCCAAAAAATAAGAATAGTCATAAGCTATACAAATCAGTACTTGCACTAGTTGTTGCTATACAGAGGTTATACACAAAGGGAATACAAAATTGAGTAAAATATAAATATTATTGCTAACAAACCTTCTTGTTGCTTGCAGCATCTTCCGCTTGTTTAACCAAGTAAGTACCTTCACTGGTAACATGCTGTGTGTTGGAATTTCAGAAACCATTGTATGTTAGCATTTAAATCGATGTACAGCTTGGCAAAGTCAGCATAGCATATAATTCTAGTCAGGCACTGCATTTATGAAAAAATCAAAACCATCGCTCACCTGCTTAAAGATATTGGCTACGGGTTCTAAGCCTCTGGGTATTTTAGAAAAGAGCCTATACATCCTCGACAAATCCTCTACCTAATGCGTGAATAATTAATAAAGTTTAGATTTACGAAAGAAAAAAAAAAAAAGAGAAAAAAAGAAGAAGAAGAAGAAGAAGAAGAAGAAGAAGAAACGTCCAAATCAATATATAATCAGTGATTTGACTGTTCCAAGTACCTTGTCATCTTTAAGTAAAGCATGACAACCTGAGTGCTCCTTCTCTAACAGTTGGGTGGCATGAACAGACAACAATTCATGTTGTACTTTCTATCAGAACAAAAACAAAAGATCAAAATGAAAACGTGAGAGATAACAGTATTGAATCAGATAAAGCACATAATCATGAGTAAGCATAACAGATATTCCAGTTCTTGAGATCATCTAGATTTGATCATGTGAGAGAAAGAACTTGCCTCAAGCAACTTTGTCTCACTACTGGAGTGAAGATAATGAGAAACCCTATCCTTTTCACGTTTTAAACACTCCTCAGCCTGGATTTTTCAAATAGTTAGTTAGCAACCACGAAAAAAAAATCCACGGTAGTGGCAAAAGAAAACTTACTTTCGACATATAGTCAGGGCATGAATCATCTAAGATCCATTTAGAAGCCTTCCGTGAATAGTAAGCAGCTGTGCCATTCAACATTGCTTCTTCAAAATCATTCTCATAATAAGTCATCTGCCCCATACCAATTTCAACAAAAATATCTAGCACATTCTTCAATAGGGCTCGATCTATCAGCTCTCCTTCCCTCTCTTGGTCAATCTAGAATGAACAACACATTAGAATTTCACGAGGAAAACAGATGGGAGGGTAACAATGATAGTAACATACCAACGATATAACAGCATCCCTAGCTTTGCTGTTTAACTCTTGATATACCTAAAATGAAAACCAAGGTTCAAGTTAATCCATAACAAAAATTTTACTATGAAAATGGAAAGACATAAACAATAAGGGGCAAGAAACAAGAAACGTGTTGAGATGGAAAAATCTGATCAAATTTCATTTGATCACAATTAGAAATATGAGCAGAGAAAACAAGATATCCAGCTCGATGTAGTAAAAAACATACCAGCTCACGGAAGCATGTCAGACCAACTTCATAAAGAGCTGGAAGTGACCTTCTAGCGATGAAGTACCGATCAAGATAGTGAAAGAATCTCGAAAGCCATCGAACCATGACTTTATGATTCTGCCATCTTTTCACAAGCTCCCTCAACATATATTCACTATGCTTGTCCCTTAGAGAAGGCAGAACCTTCATGAAATGAAAGGCCAGTTATATAACATTAGCCAACCTACAGAGCTTAAGAGAATATACAAGACCTGATAACAGAATGCAAAATTTTGACCTGCTTCATTTTCATGTGTGGGAATAGTATCCAAATTTTTTGCTATAACAGAGAATAAACAACTAAGTTGTTTTAGATGAGCACCCAGAAAAGTATTCTTTGAGTGCAATATACTTTACAAACAATGAACAAGTAACCTGAATTCACTTACTGTTGATGTAATGTATTCTTCAAAAGACTCCCGATACTTATCATACAGTTGCTGAGAATAATCATGTGGGGGCTTTTGGGTGCACATGTTATATATTGTCCTGAAATTATAAATCAAGGCAACTTTTAAACAATTGAAAAGCAGATACCAAAACGATGGATGGATTATGTGGAGTATTGAAATATTACGTGTAGAGCATCATGTAGTCCTCCGAATTGAACTGTGGTTCAGGCAGTCCCTCTAGAATGTTTTTCAGCTTCGTGATCCCTTTTTGCATAAAATCCCATCCTTGTTCTAAATCAATGGTGTTCCTTGGATTCATGGTCATCTCAGGATCCGTACAGAGATAACAGAGCCCCCACTAGTCTAGTTGAAACCTTTTTTCCATAAGCAAACATAAAATTAAGTCCTGTGTCTAATCTGTATTAACTATGATAAAATAGAATCATCTTGAGAGTTGCATAGGATCACGAAATAATTTGGCTCAACCTCATTAAGTTATAGGGTCACAGTAAACCAATAATACGAGCACTAAAATAACAGATAACATTTTCGCAATGAAAGCAAAATCTGTCCGCATAAATATTTTTCCACTCTCCAATGCGGAAGCATCATTAGCATCCATACAAAACAAAATTAGAAACCAAGCATAGAAGTATACATGCTACAATTTTAATTTAATTAGGAGTTATCTAATACCAATGCTGACATAGTCTCTAGAAACACGGAGACACATCCAAATTAATTCTTGACATAAATAGCTAATTAAACCATTAAATTTAAAAAGTCTGATAACAGATCCTTTGAACATTAGTAGACAAATCTGATTATGTTAGTGCACGATAGACTCAGAATCGTACTAATTAATAACTTGTAAAACCAAATACTGGCAAACAAAACTGCAATTTAAAACTCAAATTTCTACTTATTAATTATGTCAAGTCCATAACTCATGCTCATTAATCATCACGAAACAAGGGATTTCTCAACTGCATCAAGTTCACTTCTACAAAATGCCCTTAAAACGCCTCCCATCACCCAACCCAACAAACCCCAGAAAAAAAGGTTTATAAAGACAAGCCATCAAATATAAGAACCCTAAAATAGGAACATTCCAAAAACAAAAATCTCAAAAGGTGAGCGATAATCTCAGAAACATAAGCTTAAATCCACCAAATCCCTCAAGTTCGCAGTCAGAATCTAATCGAGAACTAAACAACAACAGCGTCAATAACGCTATCGATAATCAACTCAAAGACAATTACAACAACGATCGGATAGAACATCGCCTTGCACACATTCTTACCTATTAAAACCCACACACGAAGGCAGAACCCACAAAAGAAACGAACTACAGGGGCGTACAGTGTAAGGGAGAGCAAGAATTGGTGATGCAGGAGACCTACGAGAGATCTCTTCCAGATTTTGTTTGCCTTCTCTCTTTTTTTAGCCTTTGCTTCCTTTTAATTCTTTATTATTATTATTATTATTATTATTATTTGCTTGCTCGTTTTCTTTTCTGTTCTTTTCCCTTTTAATTTTTTCTTTTACTTCAGCCAATTTCTTTTTCTAGTCTTATTCCACATTTTCGTTCTTCCAAATCACATCACGGATGTATCTCTTTCTTGCTGCTGATTTGTAGTATAAACAAATAATATAAATAGGGTTCAACTAAACGCCGCCCTATATTACTACGTACCCTAGACTATTTTGTTCCTTTTATTTCTAAAAAAACTTAAAAATTATAAATTCTCTCCACCTATGCGATTTTCGACGAGAAAATGTCCGACAACGAGGTGCGTTTTTTGACCGGCCGGACCGTCGCCGGCCAATCGCCAATTGCGGCCGCGCATGGTCGTGGCCAGTCGGCTTGGTAGGCCGCACGGTTAAACATAGGGATATTACTTTTACGTGATCTCGCGTTGTTTTGCACGTTTATAGACATCCCTCCCTTCTCACAGCTCTGTGAAGACTCACGTCTAGAGATTGGACAGGTTGCACATTGTCCCTCTGCTTCGTGTCCTCTCCGCGGCTGCCTGTCCAGCATCCTCACCCCAGAGTCGTTGTTTAGCTGAGACCCAACCCCATTCGGTTAAGGTGAACACCGACGGATCTTTTGACCAACTTACCGGATCAGTCGGAGGAGATCACAGTTGAGCTCTCATTACTGCCTTCCACGCCACTCTTCATGCCTCCTCGAGCTACAATGCAGAGGTTCAGGCACTCCGAATCGATCTTCAGATTGCAGCCTTTATCTACTACTCACATTTGGATTGAGTTGGATGTTTTCGCTGTCGCCACCCTCTTGACCTCGGGCCACCAAGGCTCGTGGCCGATTCAACACCTGCTCATGCGCATCAGATCCACACTTCAGTTGGTTCACTACCATATCTCACACATCTTTCGTGAGGGGAACCGACCCGCTGACTTCCTGGCCTGCCTCGGTCCCTCCACTCCCCAGTGGCACACTTTCCACCCCGACGACGCCCCTCTCCACCTCCGTACTCTTGTGCACATGGACCAGCTTGGCTATCCTTCATTCAGATTCTAGTAGTCGTTTTGTTTTTATCATGCTCTGGCCCACTTTGTGGTGCAGGCTGTTCGTCGGGCAACTGCCACCCGGGTTCAGACTTTTCCTTTTGGATATTGTTTTTTCCCTTTTTCCTTTTTGTTTTTGTTTTTGGTTTGGACATGTGTAGACCTGTGATTTTTTTCTTGTCAATTTAGGGTCTTGACTATATATAGGGAAAAGAAGGACAATATGTTTCTATACTAAATAATTTATAATTAATTTATTATAGTTGATTCTCAATTTCATTTTTACCCAATTTTCTTCCTACAATACTTTTTTAAAAGTCATTTTTAAGATTGAATACTCATTCAAACCAGTGCGACAGATTTTTTTTCCTCTCTCCCTTCTCTCTCTCTTCTTTCTGTAAACCTTCTCCACCAATTTTGTTCCACCGTTTTTTCCTGTCTCTCCCCTTCTTCTTCTTCTCTCTTTCTTTTTTCATCTCGCAAATTACCAGTTTTCTTCCCCCCATCATTTTATTCATTTTTTTCTCTCTTGTTTTTTCTTCTTCTAAATTCACGCACACACACTCGTGAAAAAAAACTAAAATTTTTATTATTTTTCATCCCAAGAACCACACACACCATAACTCACGGTGATCGAAATCGACGATTGAAATGGTGCGTGTGTGGTTCTGGTCTGTTTCTTTGCCGTTGTACGCCATCCTCCGACACCCCAGTCTCCCCTTAAGTCCGGCGCCAAAGTTGAGACCACAAGTCCAGCGCATCTACATACGCACCATTTGTCCAATGCTCCTCCATTAGAGGAGCAACTTGACGGGGTCCGCCACATGCGGGAAGCGGACGCTAACGGCTGATAATTTATTTGCAGTGTGCTGTACTTATTTTTCAATTGCCATAATTTTAATCACCAATTGACAATCTCTTTGTTTGCACTTGTTCTAGGCTTTTTAAATTTTGTTACATTGTTGATTAATTTGATTGAACATTCTGTTTGTTCCATTTTGTTTTTAATACTTTTGTTATTAAATGGTGTGTGGTGACAAGAGTTCCAATTCTAACTATTGTTGGAAAATTTACATACATGTACTCTATATAAGAGTTATTTTCATATGTACGATCTGGATAAACTTTTATAAATTAAGGATTTGATGGACTTTTTTTTCACTATTACGAGATATCTTATCTCTCCACAGAATTTGTTTCTCTATCCTATTAATATCTTCTCTGTCTACAGAATTTGTTTCTCTCTCCTTTTAAAAATCATGCATTTAATTATTCTGAAACAGGCGCAAAAAAAAAAACGGGATTTCAAATAAAAACGGGATCCCGATTGGAAAACAATATTGCAGTCGAAAAATAAAACGACACAGGAAGATTCGGAAGGTGATGGATTTTACAAAGGATTCGCGGAACGTGTTGCAGATACTATGCTAAAAACAGGAAAGTATATGGAAGATAAACTTGAGATAAACAACTATAGAACACTTGGATCCCTTGGAAGCATCATACCAATGTCTTCGCCACCGTCTGCGTGTTATATAGCAGCAGTAAGATGTCTGGAAACGGCACGAGAAGATTCGGAAGGTTATGGTTTTTACAGAGGATTCATCGAACATGCTGCACACACTATGCTGAAATATGTTCAGATATATTGTATATATACATCATATAAACATGATCTGGCAGTTTCTAATATTCAGGCACTTGATGGAACATATATATTATGCACATAATTTCAGTCGGATATTCTCGCCAGGAGGATATTCGCCGTGCATACCCACGATGATTTTTGAGGTTTTCCGAGTCTTCTTCGGTTTGGGGATTTTTTTCAAATTATGGATCTCGGCCAGTTTGCAAATGGCGTCATAGTCGATGCTCGATTTTTTGGCGATGTTCGGCTCGCGGAGGCCGAGCATGTAAGGGCACGACTGCATCTGGCTTTCGATTGAGTATTAGATTTTATTTACGGTGTCGTCAATTTTTCTAAATTGGATCTTTTCCTGCACCAACTTCCGTTTGAATGAGGGTTCATCTCGGGCTGCATGAACTCGAGGGAGTTTTCTCAGTAATCTTATTTTTTTGGCCGATATAGGTTGAGAATTTGAGAAAGTGAAAAGTACTTTGGAGGAAGATTCGGAAGGTGATATCCAAGCAATCTATTGATTTTGTTTTAATATCCAAGCAATCTATCTTATCTCGTAACTGTGTAAAAATTATTCCTGTTTCGTTTTTTAAAATAAAATTTGGAAGCTATTGTTGAGGGAGTAGTTTCTCACTATTGTTTGATGGTAAGTTGGTTGTATGTTAACCCTTGTAAACTTTTCCCTCAAATCAACTAAAACCTAACTCGTCCCAATCTCTTGCCACCGCCTCCCTTCTGCAGGCGACGGCCTGCCACCACGCTGTTTTTCACCGGGGGCCGGCAAGTTAGCTTTCCCGACGCTCTCTGTTACCTGTCGCGGCGATTTTCCAATCTCGGTGGCCATGGCGGTGCTATGGCGGGGCTGCGTCGGTCGGTTGAGCTTGAGGTCACCATAGCCGTCTGCTGCCTTGGGGCGAGCGACGGCTGAGTTCGTTGCTGGTTAAACCCCCAGGCCATCCTGTCTTCTGGTGCTGGGGCGGGTGGTCCGACGGTGGGGGGTTTCGGGCTGCCGACGGTGGTGGGTCTTCGGGCTGCCGACGGTGGTAGATATCCTTATGTTCCCAGCCGGTTTGGTGTTGGGGAGTTTTCAGCTGGAATTCGTGGTGGGGCTCGAGGTGTTTCTGGTAGAGGGAGGTGCGACTTATGTGTCCGGTTTAGTTGGTTTGAGTCGTGTTCTTTACCTCTTGGGATCGTTCGTGCGTGTGGCTCGATGGTCTGCTGCGGTTGTGGAGGACTATTTATTGTGGCTTTTGTTTTTCTTGGATTTTTTGTTGTGTGTCTTTTGCTGTGATTTGTGTTGTTTTTCTGTTTAGTTGTGTTTTTTTTCTGTTGTTGGTGTGTTTTTTACTTCAATTGTGGAGTATGTTTTATCGTGTTATTCTCCTTTGGGGATATTGTGTTATTCTCCTGTGGGGAGTTCGTGTATTCTCTTGTGGGGAGTTTTTTATTTTTCTTTTTTGTCTTGTAGTGTGTGTTTTTTAATTAATGAATCTATCGTTTTGAAAAAAACAAGTTGTTTGTATGTTGTTTGATAGGTGTCATGGTATGTTTTTGTTGTTGTACAAAAACTTTTATTTTTTTTATTTTGGTTTTTTTTCTCGTGTTATTCTAATTTTTATTCCTAAGATGTGTTGTTTTTCTGATTGCTATTTTTTTTTTCTTTTTTTTTTATATCGAGGTTCCAGGCTTGCGCCTGACTAGTCCTCGAGGAAACCGGCCCCTCAAAAACTGCCTCCAGTTAAACCGCGGTAGCCACACAATGGCTCCCAACTTCATACCCTCAACTACCGCGCACAAGGAGTCGATCTCCAAGTGATTGCTTGCTGGCCCTCCCAACTCCAAGTTGGCCCCACCTATCCAGCCGTAGAGTCCCACCGAAGTGATTGCTTCATGCTGGCACCCCCAACTTCATGCTGGCCCCACCTATCCAGCCGCTGGTTCCTACCGAGTTTCAGCCTCCCACATTGTCGCTTGTAGTCCTCAGTATTAATTGTTCCACCATCGCGCTCCGGGGGGCTTGAATCCTGACCTCATGTCAATGGTACCTCACTCTCAACTACTAGGCCAAGAGGTCATTGGCTTCTGGTTGCTATTTTTATTCCTAAGATGTGTTGTTTTTCTGGTTGCTTTCAATATCTTCAGTGATCGACCAAAAGAAGAACAAGAAGAAGAAAAGAGAGAATACGTGGAAAAGAAATGGAAAAGAGAGAAAGAAGAGAGAATGAAAAAAGAGAAGGAAAAGAGAGGAGGGAAAAAGAAATTTTTAACTGTAAAAATTATTTTATTTTTATCTCTCTTGGTAGTATAATTAATTTTAGAATCCTAGCAATTTTGGAATTCTTAATGGCTAGTATTTGTTATCAGAACTTTTTATTTTTTTGAAAGTTATGTAAATTAGCGCATACACAAGTTGGGGATCGAGTCTTAATTTTCCACCCTTCCCCGGGTGCTTCTCTTTTTCCAAAAAATAAAAATAAAAAAATAAAAACGCCAAATGTCTTCGTTGNTCCTTAACCATATTGAATTTGCTATGGAATCTCACCATTGGATTATCATCAATTTTCTTCAAGGTAGTCTCCAAAACTCACATGTCGGAAACAGACCAGAGATAAGCCTCTCTCTCAGTTGCTCTCTTCTCATTCATCCTCTTAAACATCTCCTTCTCATACCCATTGCTACGGTCGACACCATCCCAGTGCCTGCCCGGTTTTATTCCATAGCGGTTGGGCGCAGCATCAATTCCTCTTCTTAACCAGCTGTGGCTAGGAATCTCCTGTGGAATTATAAAACCGCTCTCTTTCATCTCATCTCCGTCCCCTAGATCCCGCACGATAGGCTCCACATGCTTTTTCTGGAAATATAATTCAAACGACTGTTAGGTCATACCTGCAATCTATATGTAAAGCCTAAAATAGATTGCTAAACATTATTCCCCACTTATTTTAGTGACTCAAGAATTGTTTTGAAAATTTAAACCTTTGGTTTTTCAGCTCTTTTTGTGTAACAAAATTGTTATCTTTTTACAATATTCATATCTGACACTCATACTGCATTTATCAAATGAAAAACTAGTAACTTATATAGCAATCATTCTGCAAAAATGATTAAATCTATATATTGTCCATACAATACATACCTCTATCTGGTCCATTGTTACTCAGTGTTCTTTTGCATAACTATAACTAATATAAAATAAAAAATATATATAATATTATAGTCACCATTATATCCCTCCCTATATATTAACTCAAAACGTGTTGTGCCTGGCAGACTCACACGCTTCGGATGCTGACATGGCAATAATCTATGCTTCGAAATGTTTTTGTATATTAATTTTTTGCTTTGGAATTAGGCTTGGTATAGACATAAATAACTTATTTCAAACTTGGTAAGCGTACATTTAATTTTGTTATTTTTTTTCTTAGTACAAAACTACAAATTTCCTTCTTAATTTGGGCAAGTAACAATTTTACCATCTTATAATTTTCTACCATATTTCTCTCCTAAATTACGATTTACAAATCACTTTCTGCACTGTCTATTCCTCTTTTTTTTTCTCATTAATTAGTCCATCAAAATTTTTAAATAAATTTTTTATTTTAGCAATAACTTTTATAATAATTTTTTTAACTCACCCGTGTAGTACAAAGGTATTGTTGATTTCATAAACATTGTGCGTGTATAGTAACATGTACTACTTTTTTCAGCGCAAAGTATTAGTTTTAAACAATAAGAATGTTCATTCTTCTTAATTAGACATTCTCAAAGGTAGTTTATGCAATTAACTCCAAATAGAAATTAGTAAAGAAGGAACCTTGACTAAATGAGCCATGGGATCGCCCCATCTAACTCTTTCTTTCAGCATTGAGTCCAGATCTGGGTCATCCCTACAGTTGGAATGTGTTTACACATTGAATGGAAAAAAGATCATTATAAGTTTCCGCATTAAACCAAGAAAGATCAACTCATGCAAATTAATTATCAGATGAGACGTGTGAAATTAACTACTCCATACATCACATGCAGGTCAATAGGATACAAATAAAACTGATCCTTGCAGTTACCTGCTCCTAGCAAATGGTTTATTCTTCTCGTCAGCCATTTCTTCCAATCTAGCTTCAGCTTCCCGTTTCTGCGCCAACCCCTTGCCCCATTCCAGGTGTATTTCCTGAAGGCCAAACATTCCCACTTGAGCATGAATAACAGCTACCATTATATCATTACCATCTCATTACACAATACATATAAATTTCAGATGAAACTGAAGAATGAGTAAGAAAACAACAATAATATTCTAAAATGAAAAAAAGTATTAGATGCTTGGAACAAGTAATCCACTGCTATATTGATATGAAAATCATTTTACAAATCCAAGTTCAATTTATTTCCCCTCTCCAAAGGGACATACATCTCAATCTATATTTGCCAGCAGAGAGACGAGCTTAAGAGCAAGGAAGAATAACTACACTTGATATATCTCAAAAAAAACCAATCAACCATATGAAAGCATAAATATTAGCAAAACTTCTTAAGATTAGTTTCAATAATGAAATATATTTTCAGGTTTTCTTGTTAAAATACAAGGAAGGAAGAAACATCCATAAATTTCAATCTATCCTTTAACCCACATGTTCACTGATATAGTGCTAGTTCAAGATATCAATTTTAATGAGCATGTTATGTTCAGCAATATGCACAACAGAACCACAATTAGTAAAAAGACCAGCAGCAATTCAAAGTCTAAAAAGAACCATGTTATCATTGATTAATACAGATTATTATGTTGAATGGATGAACCACTTCAATTTTCTCGAGGAGCATTGACAAGATTAGGGCGTCATCAAAATGAATCTAGGTACCTTAGGGGGGATTAGATATTGGCTAATCTATGGTGTTGGGATAGTCTCTGTGTGCAAAATATCAGAAGAAAACCTTGACGTTAAAATATCATAAGACCACCTCTTCAGTTACTGTAAATCATCCTTGTAGATGTCGTTAGATATAAAATGAGAAATTGCATTAATTTTTACTCTCAACATCAACCCAAAGTTGTTGGTACAGAACACAATCAACAGTAGAAGAACTGCTCTACAGTAACTGCTGCCCCTGATAGCGGGATGAGTTGGCATAAATTTAGGGAAAGATAGATTACTGAAGCACCCAACAATCATTTTCTCAAGTATCAAGTAAAACCCAATGCTGGAACTCAGGTTAAAAATGTTGTTTAACTCAAGAATTGAAATCATACAAACTAGACTAGCAATAGCATCAACAGGGATCACATGAAGAGAGACAGTTATAGTAGAGTAAGCCAGTTCAGTGAAAATTAGTCAAACAGTAAATACATGAAAGAAAATATAAATGGCACCTTGGGCTTCTCATCTTTCTTCAACTCCTTTTTATGGGACTCGAGAAACTCTTCCTTTGACATGCGTTTCCCTGAAGCAGAGGACAGACATAAATAGAGTACTTCAATTTGATTAATGAATACTATTGACAAAATAGAAAACATTCAAGGCATACCAGTTTTTTTGTCGCGGTATACAGGTTCGGCATCACGACCACTTACTGAAGGATCTAAAGCACTAAACCTAGCAAATGAATAAGATAACAGTTGGTAACACTCTTCACATGGGACCGAGTTCGAGTCAGGTAAGTGGGGAACCACTACTGATCCTCTTTGAAAAAAAAAAAAAAACTAGCAAAAGAATAAAGGGAAATAAAAAAACACACACCCACTTCACAACCGGATGAGGATAATGATTAGTAACCAAAAAAGTTACAAAATGCAAAATGTAACAAGGCTGGTTCAACAAAGCGCAACTAATTTCAAACCATGAATAACCTATTTAAACTTTACTTTATATGACCAACCAGCCTATTTGTACCATTACATTAAACATATAACAAGAGAGTTCGTATGTGCAAAACAGAACCAAAATAAATAATTATTAGAGGTGAGAGGTGTATATAACTATACATGAGCCAAAAACCTAAGACCCTATCCAGCATTTAAAAGATCTTGTTAGAGCTCACTTATATTCAGATTTCTCAAGTTAATCAACTGAATAAGATATAAATATTATGGGTATCACAAATACTTACATGATTGCTATACAATATTTAGCAGATAATGAGGTGAGGGAGGCAGTATACACAGAAGAAATTTGTAGTTTACCTCAACCAATCATCCTTTTTTGTTTTATCAATTTCATCTTTGATATCTCTACCCGAAACTAAACCAGTCCTGGGATGATGTGAAGATGTGGGTGATTCTTTCCGCCTTCTCGGAGGAGAAAGGTCCATCACCTTAGGTTCTACATGTGGTGAACTGGCATTGTGAACTGGCTTCTTTACACGGACAATTGAACTCGACCTCTCATTCTTCAACTTCCTCGGAGGCGAAAGATCGGATGAGTCAGGACGAGCACGTCGAAGAGGAGAAATATCTGAATTCATCACCTTTGGTTCTACATATGGTGAAGGGCTTCTGTAACGCCTGCTTGACTTTCGTGGTGGAGATGAATCAGAACCTGCTGACATGTGGCCTGCTTTTTGTCCAGGCGTGGGTGACGGAGTATCATTCCTAAGCCTCCTTTTGCGAGGTGGGGAAATATCAGCATTTTGATCTTTGGCTTTCACAGTACTGGGGATACTGGATACAGAAACCCAGCCACTTCCATCCTCAGAAAGGACACCAACAGGTCGTTTGGACCTGAGCTGCTCCAGTCTCCTCATACGCTTGACTTCAATGTCCTCATCAACTTGAGGCATCTCTTCATCTGTAGAAAGTATCACAATTTTAGTTGAAGTTTGATTATAAAAAGCACTGTGCATGGGAAGGGGAAAAAGTTCAAAAAAAGAAGCATTAACACCGGCTACCTGCCGAGTCTTTTTCTTCATCGTCGGGTTTGACAGGCTTTTGCCAAATGGGATCTTCATCCACGACAAGAACTCTGGTTGCCGCACCCTGTTTAGCCTTTTTCTTTTTTTTCACCTTATCTTCGGTAGTTGTGTACTTCTTGAGATACTCTTTCAGTGAAGTTGACGCTGATGACGTGCCCGCCATTGTGAGTTGTAACAAGCTGTTTTGGAATTATAATTGAGGCCTTGAACTACTACAGTCAAAATGAAAACGTCCCTTGTCACCAATCATCCTAATTAATGGAAAATGTAGGATGTCAACAGAACAGAAGCAGAACATTCAAAGGCAAGTTGTAACGCCCCAAATCAGAATAACAAAAGATTATATAATATACCTCTCCAGATGAATCCGGACATACAAAGACGTAGAATTTAGTAGGCCAGGTTTCTTAACTCTTGATTTTGAAAGTGATAATCTCATTTGGTCTTTAGAGGCCGATGAGCGTGAACGTATACACTTTGAAGAATCTCATCCTAAGAGCATCTCCAATGTGAGATGTTGACTTAATAAAATGTTAGCCACATCGTCAAGTTATAAAGTGATTACAAAAATTACTCTCCAATCCATAATGTTATGGACTCTTTTATGTTGACATGGAGACAATAAATATCCAAAGTGTGAAGCCCACTTTATAGTTTTCCAAAGAGTGTTTGAAAGCCAACTCATCAAAAATCTAACATATTTTAAGCTTTTGAAAGGGATGCATTGGAGATGTGCATTCGAAATTAAAGTCTTCTCTTTTGACATTCATATTACATGGATTTACATTCCATTCATCATTTGACATGTGTTCAAATTTAATTAATGTTCAAAGTGGAGCATTGGAGATGCTCTAAATTTCCTAACTCTTGATTTTCAAAGTGATAATCTCATCCTAACTCTTGCAGTTATTGTGTTCAGAGCTCTAAAATGAATGCTATAGGGAAACGAATTTAAAGACGACAAGCATTTTAGAGTAGTATTTAAACTTTGAATGCTTTTAACTAGGAATGCATCGATGAATTCCTGAGCTCTGAGATGATAATATTATATAGAGGAAATGAGCTATACTATAAGTAAGAAATATGCACAAATAGATTTTTGATATGGTATGTAGGCTATGGTGAGTCAAAATCTTTGAAGATTTTCCATATCTAAGCCACCATACCATAAGAAAAAGTGGTGATCAACACGCAATGAAGATTAGTGAAAGTACATAAGCATAAAGTATAAAGAAACAGTACACGATTACTAAAAACTAAAGATTATTTTCTACCACAACACGTGTTTAAAAACGATTTTAAAATAAATAAAATCAGGTTTGGTAGCAAAAAATTGGGGCTGAAAAATTAGAAATGAAATTGGGGCAAAAAATTAACTTTACCAAATGATTGATTCTCAGAAATTAAGAATCCAATACCCTCAACAAATTTACTACCAGGGTTCGAACATAATCTAAACAAAAGGACTGAGAGATACTGCATAACAAGCTCAACATATATAAATGCCCCAATATTTATTGAAAATAAAATATTAGGGTTGGGGTCAGATTGAAGACAGAGGACGAAATGAAAAAAAGAAAAAAGAAGACTGAGAGAGTTAGACCTGACCGAGGAAGCCGGTGGAACGTCGAGCACGCGTCGGACGGTGAGCAGCAAGCGAGCGGCGGGCTGAGCGTTTGATGGTGAGAGTGAGCGGCGACGGGCTGAGCGCACGAGATGTTTGCAGAAGTGTAAGATAGTGGAGGTGCTGAAGAATATTAAGAAACCTTGTGCGGCTGTAGGTGTGTCTAGTGTTCTCATCGATGATATCTGGTATTTGCAGAAGTGCCTTACTTTTTGCTGATTTAAGTCTGATATAGTGTCTCCTTATTGCTGTTCTCTAGCCATGTTGGCTTTAGAAGAGGAGTAGATTTGTCTTTCCTTCTTGAAAATGACCCCATTTCTCCCTTTCCATATCCTCCACATGAGACAGGCTAATAGAGAAAGTCTTTCTTTGATGAGCGTTGCCTTTCTATTCTGACAAATAGTTTCCCACCATTGCCCAAGGTTGAAATCTGCCTGTTGAAATTTTGATCAGCAAATCCTGCTCTTACCACATTTAACAAACAGGTGATTGATATCTTCTGGTTCTTCCCACACATTGAACAAATGGTGTCATTGGGTCCTCCTTTTCTCAACAATTGTACTATAGAGCATTTTGGTTCAGTCCCAAACAATTGTAGGTGACCTAATAAATAAACTTATTCTAAAAAAATATATTCTTCAATGCAAATAGAAGTATATTGGGTCCTGCTGATGTGGCAGTCAGAAAAATAGACTCGGTCTCCTCTTAAGTCTATTTCAGTTAAAAAAGTCTTAAAAAATCCGGTGGTTAATTTTTTTAAAAATCCGGAATAACCGGTCCGGTTAACGGATTACCTGCTGCAAACTGCCAGTTTAACTGGACCGGACCGGTAAATATTACAAAACTATAATAAATATATATATACATTCAGTCATTCACTATGACCGACAAATACAATACATTCACTATGAATGCTTTGCTCTTATTATTTCAGGTGTATAAACTGACTAAAAAATGAACGTTTGCTTGGGTTCAGTTTTTATAATTTAATCTTCATCATTTTTGTAATTTTATGTTTAAGGGACAACATGTGTATTTTTATGCTTATGGGACGAATTGTGTATTTTTTATTTCATTATTATTGTTTTTCTTAATTTTTAGGCCCAAATAATCTCTTTTGGGCCCAAAATTGAAAAATAAAAATTAAGCCCAAAACAAGGATTTTGGATTTAACCGGTTAACCGCCAAACAGGACCGTCCAATGCGGTCCGGATTGTGGTCGGTTAACAAATAAAACCGGTCCAGTTATGGACAAGAAAAAAAAATAACCATTAGGTCCGGTTTGGTCATGATTTGGGGTAAAACCGAACCAATCCGGACCGTGAACACCCCTACAGGAACCCATTAAGAAGCCTCCACATTAAGTTTTTTATTTTAGGTTGTGTTGTGAGCTTCCATATAACTGTCCACATTTGTTTCTGCTGTGGAGGGAAACAGCTTGTACCTGCATTGTGAACATGAACTCCAGTGCTCAGGGTTAAGAACTTCTCATAAGCAGATTTCACAGTAAAATCCCCTTTCTCATTATAAGTCCACATCTTCTACTTCTCAGCATCAAATCACTTACATCAATTAAATTACTTTTATCATTCTGATAAGAGCAAGAGGGCTTAAATCCAGGCAGATTTGGAACCCAAGGAGAATCCCAGATAGACACCTGTACTCCATCCCCAATTTGATACCTCACTCCTTTCAAGAATTTCTCCCTCACACTAAGCCAACATCTCTAGAGCTAAGAATCATTGGTTTTCTTTTGAACCTCAAACAAGTTAGAATTATGATAATATCTCTCTTTCAAAACCTTGCTCACTAGGAGATTTGGTTGAGTAAGAATTCTCCAAAGTTGTTTAGAAATTAGACCATAATTAAATTCCACCAAATCCTGAAACCAATTCCCTCAGCTTCCTTCCTTACTCTTGGACATTTTCTCCCAACTAGCCCAGTGCAGCTTATCATTACCTTAATCATCCTTGCCCCACCAAAATGAAGCAAAGATTTTACACATATCAGAGCACACAGAGATAGGTAGTTTGAAACATGCCATCACATAAACAGGAAGAGCATTAAGAATTGTTTCAGGCTATGTTTAGTAAAACTAGCTGATAAGCTAGCTTAGTAATTTGCTAGCTTATGACTTATAGATGAAAAGCTAGCTTATATGACAAAAGTGTTTGGTAAAATTAGCTGATAAGCTAGCTGGAATAAAAAATTCAACTACCTTATTTGAAAAGCTACCTAAAGAAGCTTATCAAATAAGCTCGAGCTTTTTAAAAAAGTTCGTCCTACCAAACGAGACTTATTTGAATACAGGGAGCTTATAAGCTAACCAAATAAGCTATAAGCTAGTTTATTTGTCTACCAAACATAGCCTTAATTACAATCTCTCTCCCTGCCTCACTTAGATATGAATTTTTCCAGCTAGCCACTCTTTGTTTTACCTTCTCACAAACAAATATAAAAGTCTCTCTCTTAGACCTACCTATTCCAAAGGGCAAACCCAGATATTTGGAAGAAGAAACCACATCTATACCCCTAAGAACAGAACACGCCTTCTGAATAGACTCATTAGAAGTGTTCTTAGAGAAGAAAATAGAGGATTTTTGTAAATTGACTATCTGACCAGAAGCACTCCCATAATCTTTTAAAATTTGCAATAACACATGAGCTTGAGACATAGAGGCTTTTAAAATGTGTTTTTTTGTTTGTTATCCTAGATCCAAATTATGATAAGAAGCACATTTACATATTTGCCCCCTATATTGATTTGCATGGCTATCCTTTATTCCTACACGTAAGTGGTGTTTTTTTTTCTTTTAATTTTGTTTTTATTTAATTTTTTTGCATGGCCGTGTTGTGTGTACATTTTTTGTTCGTATTTTTTATTTTTTTTTGCATGGCCGCTTTGTGTGTACATTTTCTGTTGTTATTTATTTTCTTTTGTTGCCTGAAACATATTTACATGCAGTCTAGTTAAGAAGATGCCATTTTATTTTTTTCCATTTCAAATTTATAAACAGTTTTTGCAATACCTTCTTCAAAGCATTAATCATGCAATAGTAGAAAAAAAATACTCAGCTTTGTTACCCCGTGACGCTTTTTCCTTCCCTTTGCCTCTACTGTCAATCAATCACACATTACATAGGGGTGTTCCTGCTTGAAGACAAAAGTGGAGTGGAATATGGGGATGGTTATTTTTTGCAGCTTTTAAAGAATTGCAACACATGCAAGATTCTTGTAAACATCATGGCCCTTATTGTCAATAACAAGTAGCCTAAGAATGAGGTGTTTTTATATTTTTTTAGAGGAAATCCAATGTGTGTTGTTGCAGTAGTAGACAAAGTTTTAACTATAAAATCATAACACATCCTCATTGAAATTCGGTCATTTACTTCTCAAAGTTGTTCTTAATTTTTTCATTCTCGTTTCAAATCAAACACAATGCCTCGCCTTTCCACCCCTATAACGCAAGATGAATGCTTGTACGACGATCGTTGGACAAAACAGGCCGACAATCTTTTTGTTGACTTGCTAATAGAGTCGCATCTTCTTTGGAAGTGGACAAATGGTCGTCCTGGGGGTGCAGTCTTCGATTACTGCCGCTCTGTTTTCGTTGGCGAGCTCGAGCTTATTTATAGTAACGCTGAATTTGAGGAGAGATTCGACTTTCTTCAAAAGCGGTACCAAGTTCTTAGCTGGATGCTAGTGCATAGGCGATACAGAGAGGACACAAAGATCTTCATCTGAACAGGCGATGACACAACCAGATCTAAAATTCAAGTCGCGCGACCGGGAGGACGGAAGATCTTCACTGCATACATAGGTCAATTATTGTGGATTGTTGCCTTTTATGGTCTTGTGCACTAGATGGTAGTGGCATGATGTAGTTTTCCTTTTGACTGAGGGCACTTTTGTCCGATAAATTCACTTTAGGAGCACGTTGTGACTTCTTCCACTGTTGGGACATGTCCGAATCTTACCCCCTTGAGCAGATGAATTAATCAACAGAAAGCAGGATTTGTGCACTGTTCATTGCGGGCCTCATCCAATCTGTCGGGCCGTAATCATGGTAAACAAACGCGGGATTTTGGCCAGATAAGGACCTCAATCTTGTCCTGTCTTGGCTAACAAACATGTTCTAAATGTAAACTAATGTATGACTGTTGTTAATTGTAATTTGTACAATTTAAAACCATACTCAGTATAGTATGTAAAAAATAAATTAATGCGGTTCGATTAAAACCGCAACCTTCGGACACAAAACCGAACGCACCGAAACTTTTGCGGTTTTTCAAAATCCAAACCACCCTGAAACACAACTCTTTAGAAACCGAATCGAACCGCACCGAATACATCAGTTCGGTTCGATTTTTCGATTTCAACTCGGTTTTGCTCACCCTTAGCGATGGTGCATCATTTTCACCAGAAACTGAATTGTATCTGCTATCTATTTCTTATTGCAAAAGGAAATTTTCCCATTTTATTTTGTCTTTATTTCTGCCCAAAAACTGAAAATTAAGAATTTGCGTGACGTGAGCTCTAGTTTCAAGCCAAATTGGGCTTTTTTTTTGGCTTATAACACAAAATGGCATTTTTTTAATCCATGTGTACATTTGTAACTATTTTAGCTAGTTTTTTAGATTTTAAAAACATTTCATATCGCATAATTTTAGTTTAGAGAATAATAATACATCGAAAAAACTTAGGGGGGTGTATTTAATTAGGATTTTTAAGGATTTTTTAAGACTTTAGAAATCCTGGTGTATTCAATTTAGATTTGTTAAGACTTTTTAAAACTTTTAAAAATCCTGGGGTATTCAATTGGGATTTTCAAAAGTCTTACAAAATCCTGAGGTATTTAATTTTTTTGACACTAGGATTTATTAAGACTTTTTAAGATTTTGTGGGATTTCTAAACAAAAAACCTTATATGAAATCCCACTTCAAATCCTACCTCCGGACTTGAGATTTCATAGAATTCTTCCAAAATCTGAAAATCCTAGAAAGTCTCAAATCTCAAAAAGTCTTAAAATGTCACTTAAATTCCGAATTGAATACACCCCCCTTATTATGTTTCACCGACCTCGTCCTGATACGACCGTCGTCACCAGTACCTCCCTTCTATTACAGCTTCGTCGTCCGCCACTGAGATGCCGGCAAGATGCCTCGTCAACAACAATCCGCCAAGGCTCCCAGTTTTCTCCTCGACGACTGATCCGACGGCGGATGCAGCTCGCAGGAACTCGTCAGTGACAGAATCCAGCGACAGCATGCGATCCTCGAGACCGACGTCCATGAGCTGCGGCGATTCTATTGTTGTCGATTTAGTTTCCCGATTATCCCAATCGTCCTTGACACCGCCAACGAGTACCTCCTGAATGGGCCTCGTGGATCGTTGAAGGAGTCGCAGAAAACGCCTGGGTTGTATGCAATTTCGAAGTTGCAGAAGAGCATATCGATCTAATTGAGAAATTGGATTTGGGGCTATTTTTTGGTGAATTAAACAAATCAAAAGGACTTATTTGCAAAATAAAAAGTTTCAACAATATTACATTTAAATTCATAGATTAAATATATAAGTTGATAAAAATCGTTAGTTGCACATTAATGCTCATCATAATGCACAATACCACATTTTAAAATTGCACAAATAATACTATCAATGCATAATGCAAAACAGTATTCAATGAGATGCGCAATAATGAATGTCAAGATGCACAGTAGTGATTGAAACTAACCAAACTAAAATTTTTTATTCTATTTTTATATATGTCGGGTGATTATTTGTTTTTACATATAAATTTCAGTTATCCCGAACGATAACGTGCATTCACATGAACACTAATGTGCATTTGGTATACATTATTGTGCAGTCCATAGATTGGTTATTTTTTATGTGTATTTAAATTTTAGAAAAAAATTAATAATGTGTAATTTAATTAACATTATTGTGCATTTATCAAATTATTCATATAAGCAGTGAACCAGATACCCACTACAGGCCACGCAGCTAGGAAGAACAAATTTATTTAATATTTTATATTATGGCTTGTTGAAAATAAATAAAATATAAGTCGAGACCAGACCGAAATAACCATAATTTTACTATCTGTGAAAATTCACACTGTTATGTTAACGTGCACTCTCGAGCACATTAATGTGTACTTGTTCTAACAGTATTGTGCATTCTATCAGTTATTAATGTGCGACTTGTTTAATACTAATGTGCATTATGCAATGTTTATTTGTTTTTATGTGCAAATTCAAACTAAAACAGAATCGAAATAATCAATTTGTTTGGGTGGTTAACCAAATTATCTAAATAATAAAAAAATCATTATTATTTGTATCTAAATAATTTTTGTTTTTTTTTATATTAGATAATAATGTATCATATTTAAGTTTGTCAATGTCCTAGACGTACGTGGTAGAAGAATTAGGATAATGATTCTGAATTACCATCATTGCCCTCAGCCTCTTAATTGTTGGACAATTGCGTGGATTCTAAAATGAAGGATGTTTCTGACCATAAAGCAAATGTTTCACCTCCCAATGGCGCCGATGAGGACTTGAATGTGGATTCAGATAGTGGGAAGAATTTGGCTAATTACTGACCACTTATGCAGCAGCTTCTAGCTAGATTGGCTGCACCTGCTTTGGATATAAGTGGCAGTGTATCCAGATGATCATGGGGCAGGCGGGAATAAGCGGAAGGATCCTGAACCTGCCCTTTCCATTTCATCGAGCCGTCAAGCATATAAAGATGGTTTACAACATGGGCTGGTACATAGCGAAAATATTGAAGTGTCACTTGAGAACAATTATCTAAGGTATACAGGTTGCATGAAGCCTTACTACTATCTATATTTCCCTCGAATCTGCATGTGCCACTATGGTTATATTGTTTTTAGACGAGCATGGTGTGTATTCATGTGATTAGATCATTAGATGCAAATTTGTCAATGATTGTCACATGTAATGGTTTTGCTTGCTTATGTGCGCGATATGGGTATCTTTTATATGCTCTATATCTTCTATATGCTCTAATTTGAAGCTGGTAACCGGTTGTATTTAGCTATTTTTATTGTTATTATATGCTTCTTACTTGTTTACTAGAGTCGATATTCTCTGGTGGGTCTTTCTGGAGCTATCGTGAAGACTTTCATCACATATTTCATTTTCTATTTCATATTCCGTTATTTTTCTGTCTTATTTTAACATGATTTTATTTTTCCTGACAGTGAGACCACGAAAAATGTTCTTATTGCGTCTAACACATAGACATTTGAAATGCAATAAATTTGCAAAGTTCACTAAGGATCTCCCGACACTTTGCCCTAGAATCTTGCTGTCAGGTAATTTGAAAGATATAGAGAAATTGATAGCTGGAAATCCAAAGGCATATGTGGCGTTAAAAGTTAAGCTTGAAAGCATTCGAGAAAATGTTGTGGTCATAATAGCCTCACATTCTCAGCCGAAAGGAAAAAAGTACGTTTCTTTGATTTTATACTTATCTTTGATTTTATGCTTATTGAGCTGCCCAAGGCTTGCACATGAGTGATTTCTTTTGTAATGGACTCTATTATCTATATTATTGGTCTCAGTCTCATCCTGGTGGACTGCTTTTCACAAAATTTGGAAGCAACCAAATAGCATTGATCGATCTTGCCTTTCCGGTATGCTTATTAAAGTAAAATTATAAATTATAAACTTACTCATTTGTTTTCATCGCTCTAACTAAATTGGAATTTGACATCTGATTGTTTGTTGGACTTTCTCTAGCAATTAGTTTTCCCCTCTGATCTTATATTGGAGTAAAATTTTTATAAGTTCACATTTAAAGATCTCTTGCATCTCATTTTTTCCAATCATTGTGCTAATTTTGGGTTTCCTTATGTATATGTCTATGTTTATTTAGGATAATTTTGGCGATAAAGGTAAAGACACTCCAAAAATATTAAAGCAGCTCAGCCACCTTTTTCTGAACAAAGTGACCATTCAGATACCCCATGTAATCAACTATTGGTTATTTAGTCAAAGAGATGATTATAATATAAATTTTATATAGATAGTTGTAATGAGGATTGTTTGTAAAGATAAATGATACGTATTAGTATAGAACTGCTTTACGCTGGTTTTGGCATCTATACTTGGATGTGATGTATGTTCATTAATCTCAATGTAACGCCTTATGATTTTTTTCACATCAACCTCAGGTTATGAAGAAGTTTGGCATTGATTGCCCTGCTATGGAAACTTTATCCATTAAAGACATATCTTTGGCCATTGAAAGTCAGTAATTTCGTTCAACTTAAAAATCCTTAGTCAGTAACAACTGCGCTTCCAGATTTTTCTAAATGCTTGTTCTGTGGGTGATAGGCACTGAAAAAATAATTGGTTGGGCTTTGAGCCATCACTCTATGCAATGCTCTGAAGCCACACTCAAAGAATCAAAATTTGTCATTTCAAGTGAGAGGAATAAAAACGGGCCAATTTTATCCGCCATGACATTAGAAGGATAAGCAAATACTCCGGGTTAGGTCCTTACTTTTTTTTTTCTTGGCTTTGTGTTGCAGTAAATAGCCATGGGGTAAACATTCTACAAGCCATTCAAAATGAAAATAGAAGCGTGAAGAAGTCTCTTAAGGTAAAGAATTTGTCGTAAATTATGTTTGTTTGATGCTTTCCCATAGTATTTCTCATAACATGGTACAGAAGAAGATTAACATCTTCAAGTTGTAGGATGTGATTGCTGAAAATGAGTTTGAGAAAAAGCTGCTTGCTGTGGTCATCCCTCTAGGTGATATTGAAGGTGAACAATTCTGGAATCGATTGAAATTTAAACATGTTTAAGAGGTTTTGCATGTAGGTGGGATGTTTGGCGGTTCGAGTAGTGGTTACAGCGTGTTAGGTGGTCTTCATGGTGTTGATTTATCAGAGGTATTATCTCTCCTCGTTCATTACAACTTCTAACTCTGTATTATTATCCATTTATTTTCTCTTCTTCTTGTTCATAAGATTATTCTTTTTTATGATATTTTCATTCTGTAATATATAATTATCACACACACACACACACACACACACACACACACACACACACATATATATATAGAAGTGCACTCAAATGAGAAAGGAGCACAATGAAAGAAATGAGAATGAATCTGGACCACTAGATATATTATATCAATGATCATGATCAAGTCAAAATTTAATAAATAATGATCAATCATTAATGGCAGTATAGTAAATAATTAGATATATGATGGTCATCATATAACATTTACCATCAATTAAGGGCAAATTAGTCATTATCATATCAAACCCACCTACTCTACCTTCTCTCTCCCACCCACACGAATCACGCACTTCACACACAAGAGGAAACACACACACACACACACTCAAGGTCAGTCCAACTGCTCCGCCGCCGGCACGGACTGTAGCCGCCACAAAGTCAGTCGGCCACGGCGACACCGCCTTCACAGCCCGCAGCCGCCACAACTCCCCAGCAACCCCACCACAACCACCACAAACCCGCCGGATATTCAACACAGATCCCGCCGATCGACGGCCTCCGCCATTTCCAACCTCATCTCAGCCGCCGCCGCGTCTATCTCAAGGTACGACCGCCAGCAACTCGCTCGAAGGCGGATTCCCGTCGAAAATCGACATTCCACAGAGTTCGAGCACCCGACATGAATATGGGGGTGACTGTGTGGCGAGATCCCGACAATCGTCAGAAGGTTAAAGAACTCACAGCCGCCGGAATCTAGATTTCGGGGGTCCAACGGGCTGCGGGTTCAGTCCGCCGGCGTCACCGGCCCTTTAATTGGAAATCGATATGTTACGGTTTTGGGGGATATAATGATTTTTAGAATTAGACATTATAAAGGGACTAATGTGCAATTTTATGAATTTAAGTATATTACAATTAAGTTCAAGTATTAAATTTGTAATTAACAAGAAAATATTAAATGCCCTATAGTGATCAATATATTGCACAATGCCGTGTTTGTATATGCACATTAGAATTAACAAAGATACTAAAATATCAATGCTGAAATTAAAGTCGAAATCATACCGAGATAACCAAAATTTAAAAATTAAAAGTCAATAGCCGAATTGACATATAAAAAAACTGAATTAAAAAGCTAATTTCAGTAGAATTTGGTGTTTGTTTTTTTGGTCAAATTTTGCACACTCATATACGCGTTCCAAAAATTCGTTTGTTTGAATTGTTATTGTGCAATCTAAAAGTCATTACTGTGCAATCCGTACAACAATATTTTGCATTTATAAAACTTAACAATAATAATAATAATAATTTTTATATAGTTCGGTCGATACGGTTATTTTAGTTATATTAAAAAATAAAGACGACATCGAACTGAAAAAAAAAGTATGAATTGAAATAGAAATTTTGAATCGAAAAGTTTAGCTTGGTCGGGTTCGAACGCTATTGTGCAATTTGATAGTCGTTAATGTGTAATTCGTATAACAATATTGTGCACTCGCAGAGCAGACATTTATTAATGTTTTGTTCCAAAACAAACCAAAATCGAACTAAAATAATCGATGTATTTGATAAGTTATCCGAGTTACCCTAAATACTTGAAATCATTTATTATTTATATTATAAAAATACTTTTAGCATTTTAATATTGTTTATTTAAAATTTTATATCATTTTTTTGTTTAAAATAACGTACTATATAAAATACAAAATCAATAATGTGCATTGTCACACACAATAGTGTGCACTTGATTTAAAATTATTGTGCAATGTATTTAGCGTGTATTTTTATGTGCATTTTAATTTTTAGAACAGTTTAATAATGTGTATTGTAATCAAAGTTATTTTGCATTTATCAAATTATTTATAATAAATTATATTTATTATACCTAAATTCCTATTTAACATTTTACATTATTGTTTGTTGGAACAAATAATATATATATATATAAATAATACATAATATTAATATTTTTCATATAGCTCGACTCTTTCAATTTTGATAATAATCAAAATATATAAATTTAAAATGAAACGAAATAACTGAAAATGTGCGAAATCGAAAAATATGGTAAATTTTACTTTTTTCACGCATGACTATTTTAGCAGCTAGCGTTAAGCTGAAGTGCAATCCCATATACATTATCGTGTAATATGTCTATCACTATTGTGCATTCTACATTATAAAAAATTAATGTAAAAATTGTGCATTTAATTAGAGTTGTTGACTCAAATGAAAATAAAATCGAACCGAAATAATATGTTTATTTGGTCGGTTAGGCGAATCAATCAAAACAACTAAAAATATTATTTTTATTATAAAAACATATTTATTTTTTGATATTTTATATACTTGTGTTTTGTTGAGTAATAGTATATTTATATGAAAAATATAAATAATAATAACAAATCAAGTGGCAGGTTCAGTCCCAACAAGTTGTTCTGATTTGTCCCCAACATTGAAATTAAGATTTTGCAATTAAGTACTTGAAGGACGTCAAATTCTAAAACAAAAAGCCCCCAATTTCAATATAATTTCACGTTCGGCCCTATCAACCTAGCCCCGTACTTGCCGCCGGTGAACCTGCCGGCCGCTATCTTCACCGCCAAGACCTCTCCGGCGATCGATTTCATCAAATTTAGTTTTGATTTTGAAAGAAAAGAGCAATCAAATTCAAGCCGATCCAGTAAAGAAAATCGAACAATAAACCTAATGGTGTGATAGAAGGTTGTCTTCTCGGTAGCTGGCGGAGCAGGTCGCCTTCTCTGATGACTGACGGCGGAAGAACGGCGACCGCGACAGTAATACAAGATGTCGGAGTCGGTGTTCACCAGGTTCACCTGTAGGCGGCTGAGGGTGCGGGAGGGAGGTATGACGGCGACAGACCGGCGGTGATGGCGGCGGACCGATGATAACGGGCGGCGGATCGACAGTGGAGGTGGACGACGGCTCTGGTGGTCAGCCGGCGTGAGGTCGATGATGNAAGTCTTTATCTTGTTATCAGGAAGCACATTTCTCATATAACCTCTGATATCTAAGCCAATAAAAGGAAGTAAGTGTGTCTATGTTTTCTTCTTCTCATTCTTCATTTTTTTTTCTTTCTCCACTTGTCAATAATTCAGCTAACTAACAGTGTTTTTACAACTGGTAAGAGTGTCAGTAAATTTATTTTTTTGTCTTCTTGTTTTGTTAAAAACAAAGAATGGTACTCGTAAATAATTGCCAAACAGGCAAAACACAAGTTGGGCGATAACGAAAAAGGAAAATATTTGTATTTTCAATGACGAGCTTAGTTAAAAGAGCTCTCTCTCTCTCTCTCTCTCATAAATGCATCGATACTGCAGGATTAAATTCCTGAAGCCAAAAAGTATTAGCAGTCACCCAATTTCCAGTCTTAGGTTTATGTGCCTTCTTTTTTGTCCTTGGGCAAAACTCGCATTAGCTAACAACAAATTTGGGTGCGTTGACATTATTAATCAATGTTTAAGCATATATCCATAAGCAGAACTCTAGACCTTGACTTTAAGCCCATAAGCCAAGCTGCTATCCAAGTCGATTATAAATTTGGTTAATTAACTTAAATTTTTAAAAATTATGTAAATATTAATTTAAGATTTAAAAATTACATGTGTATGCTTATTTCTGTTTTAAATACACATTAAAGAAAAATAAATAAATATTCTACATTTACAATTTACACTTCAAAGTCTTAGTAATATTGCTTCACTTTAAAAATGTTTGTTATGAAAGTTTCACATTTATTTCATAAAATTTACAAGAAAAAAGAGAACAGAAAATAGAGTTGCCCAAGTTGTTATGAAAAGTTTCACATTTATTTCATAAAATTTACAAGAAAAAAGAGAGCAGAAAATAGAGTTGCCTAAGTTGATTGGGTCACAGTTGGGTCATGCACCAAAAGATCTTAGCATATGACTCCTCGAGTTGCATCATAGGTCACAATTTTTCTGCTCGAGTCGATTGGGTTACGGGTCATTAAACAATGATACCATACCATTGGATTCAATACAGATCAAAGAAAATAGAATTGAACAAACAACCCTCTTTGTATTCCACTCAAAATATTAATTTATTTAGAGATTCATATACAATAAGACTATCTGTAACTATATATTGTTTTGTTAAATAAAATTAGCTTAATAAATCAAAAGCAGATCAAAATTGAAATAATGGTTTCAATATATTAAACATCATTTTTTTTTTATTCACACAAGAAAGTGAAAGCAATTTTCAAAGTGTTATTAGTATCTGTTCAGTAGGCGCTACAGTATGTTATATGAAAGTGTTCTGGATAATAATTATAATTTCAATATATTAAATTGTAATTTTTATTTTTCACAAAAGAAAGTGAAATTTTTTTAAAGTGAACTAGTACCTGTTCAATAGTTTTTTTTTATTCGACTACAGTACTAATATCAGCCGGTTAGACCAGATACAACATGGATTTCTAGCCATTCCATTCTAAATAGCACTGAACTGGTACTAGTTCACTTTAAAAATTGTTCACTTTCTTTTGTGATTAATAAAAACTACAATTTAATATATTGAAATTATTATTATTATCCAGAACACTTTCATACAGCATATTGTAGCGCCTACTGAACAGGTACTAATACACTTTGAAAATTGTTTCACTTTCTGAATAAAAATTACAAAAAGAATAAAAATAAAAAATTGATGTTTAATATATTGAAACCATTATTTCAATTTTGATTTGCTTTTGATTTATTAAGCTAATTTTATTTACAAAACAATATATAGTTACAGAAAGTCTTATTGTATATGAATCTCTAAATAAATTAATATTTTGAGTGAGAATACAAAGAGATCTCTCGGTTCAATTCTATTTTCTTTGATCTTTATTGAATCCAATGGTATCGTTGTTTAATGACCCGTAACCCAACCGGCTCGAGCCGAAAAACTCTGACCTATGATGCAACTCAAGGGGTCATATGCTAAGATCTTTTGGAGCATGACCCAACTGTGACCCAATCAACCAACTTGGGCAACTCTGTTTTCTGCTCTCTTTTTTCTTGTAAATTTTATGAAATAAATGTGAAACTTTTCATAACAAACATTTTTAAACGAAGCAATATTATTAAGACTTTGAAGTGTAAATTTTAAATGTAGAATATTTATTTATCTTTATTTAATGTGTATTTAAAACAGAAATAAGCATACTCATGTAATTTTTAAATCTTAAATTAATATTTACATATTAATTTTTAAAAATTGAAGTTAGTTAACCAAATTTGTAATTGACTTGGGTAGCAGCTTGGCTTATGGGTTTAAAGTCACGGTCTATAGTTCTGCTTCTAAATTCCACCTAAGGTATATGCTTAAACATTGATTAATAATTGTCGTCAACGCACACAAATTTGAGATTCAAACAAAAAAGAATGCACATAAAACCTAAGACTGGAAATTGGGTGACTGCTAATACTTTTTGGCTTCAGGAATTTAATCCTGCAGTATCAATGCATTTATGAGAGAGAGAGAGAGAGAGCTCTTTTAACTAAGCTCGTCATTGGAAATACAAATATTTTCCTTTTTCGTTACTTATCAGCTTGACAATTATTTACGAGTACCATTCTTTGTTTTCAACAAAAAAAGAAGACAAAAAAATAAATTTACTGACACTCTTACCAGTTGTAAAAACACTGTTAGTTAGCTGAATTATTGACAAGTGGAGAAAGAAAAAAAAATGAAGAATGAGAAGAAGAAAACATAGACACACTTACTTCCTTTTATTGGCTTAGATATCAGAGGTTATATGAGAAATGTGCTTCCTGATAACAAGATAAAGACTTGGCATGATTAAATCAACATATATATATATATATATATATATATATATATATGTATATATGTATACATATACTTATAATGAACAAGAATAGAAAATAAATGGAGAGTTGTAATGTACAAGGTGAGATAATACCTCAGACAATGCATTAACAACTGGATAAACTGACACCATGAAGACCACTTTTGCCTAGTTAGAATGGTTTGCTAGGAATCCATGTTGTATCTGGTCTAACCGGCTGATAATTAGTATTGTAGTTGAATAAAAAGAACCGGGCATTTTGAACTTGTCTCTGTTTGTTTATTATTCGTGCATAATTTTTTGTTCGAAATCATTCATTTAATTATTCGTCAATATTTATGTTCTTTCGTGTTCGAATAATTTGGTAAACAAACTTATTGAAACTGTTTGATTAACTTGAGATCAGCTCGTTCGAGCTTGAAAGTAAAAAAAAGAAAAGAAATAGTAAAAAAGTTCATACTTAAGATATTTTTTAAAATACAGTATATATAAATTATAACTATTAAAAATGTATTATATTATTTGTTCGAGAACAAAAAAATATAGTATATATAAATAACTATTAAAAAATGTATTATATTATTGTATGAGAACATCATTGAACGTATATAAATAGGCTTGTGTTCGCTCGATTGACAAATGAGCATAATATTTTGTTCAGGCTCGGCTTGAGTAAACGAACCGTTGGAATATCACTTGTGAGTTGTTCCACATTGATTCTATAGGGAAAATGAGCCTAGTGTATAAGCCTAGTGGGCTACTCCTTGTTGGGTTCGCTAGTACCGTACGGGCTGTACACAGCGGAATTTAAAATTTTTAAAGTAAGTATTTATCGTATAAATACAACACCCGTACATACTAATTGCGAATTAACTGATCGTCATCTTTAAAATATGCATCATATACAAATTTTGATTTGTTACTATAAAGTAAATACTAGTAAAAATATTTACCGAATGTCTTGAACTCCTTCACTATTGATGATGGATGAGGGAATCGGTTCCCGGTTGTAACTTCAACGACTTGAGGTTACTCGCTAGAGGAATCCAAGTGTCTTCCCTCTAAACGTATCCACCCTATGAAGCCCGGTTCCGACGACTTTCCTTCGCTAGTAGAAAAGACTCGGTTTTCTTGTATAGGAATATTTATGAATTTTATTTGGGAATTTTAAGAACTCTTTCTTGAAGTTTTATGAAGAACACTTTCTTCTCTTTCTAACACTTAGAAATTTAGGATCAAAAACTTCACTTAAATGCAAAACCATTTTGCACATATTTATACTAAACATTTTAGCATAAAATAATCAACATTTAGTAATATTAAATAAAATCAAATTTTATTTAAATAGTATTTACTAACTTTTGACTTTGAAAATAATAAGATATGTTAAGTAGTTCAAACAACCATCAACAACCATTTTATTATAATCATATTTATTATTTTAATCCTTAAATCATATTTAAAGATATAAATAATAATTGGATAATAAATCTTGAGAATCTTTCTCAAGACTTTATTATTATATCATTTTCCCAATATTATAATAATCATATTATTATTATTTTGGATTTTTGAAATTTAAAATCCTATTTTAAAATTCAACTTTATTAATTTAGTAATTACCTTAATTACTAAAGTAATATCCAAAATGTAATTAATCAATCTTATTGATTAATATATTCCTTTAATTGATATCTAATCAAATTAGATATTTATCAATTAATTCTAACCATTAGAAATACAATCTTTACCTTTGTTCATAATTAGTGTGACCTTTTAGGTTCACCTTAATACTAGTAGTGGGTTTACAACACTTTGTAATTTGAGTTAAATCTTATTAACTCTTATTCATGAATTAACCCTTTAATTTATGAACCCACATATCATGGTAACACCTAGCAAGTAGCATGAATCTAGTATTAAGTGAATAGCGAGTAAACCTATTCCGATTACAACTCCATACATGTAAAATCCTTTCGACATCTAATTTCCCGATTAAGTCTTGGGTATGATTTTGTCGAAACCCAAATTGACTTAATAACTATGATTCTATTTCATGTTTATTAACCCGGTTATGAATCACTATTCATCTCTGCCTTGGCCAAGGACTTTGGATTAATAACTATGAAACACATAGGAAATTCACTTATCTTCATAAGTGTCGAATCCTTTATT